GCTCCGGGCCTGGCACCGCCCGGCCACGCTGCAGCCTTCGGGGGCCCGCCCGGCGGTCACCTGCTGGACGCGCTGCCCGGGCCTTATGCGGCCGCAGCCGCAGGACCACTGGGAGCCGCTCCGGACCGCTTCCCCGCAGACCTGGACCTGGACATGTTCAGCGGGAGCCTTGAGTGTGACGTCGAGTCCATCATCCTCAACGACTTCATGGACAGCGACGAAATGGACTTCAACTTTGACTCAGCCCTGCCTCCACCTCCCCCCGGCCTGGCCGGGGCCCCGCCCCCTAACCAGAGCTGGGTGCCGGGCTGAGGGCCTCCCCTCCTGGGTAGCCTGGTCCCCTCCCCAAGGGACCTCTGTCTTCCCGTCCTGATCCCTAGGTCCCAACCCCCTATCCAGCTGCGCAGGAGGAATCGGGTAGCTTCAGCCAGCTAGAGACCTCCTTCAAAAGTTGATGGCAGAGGGAATTGGGAGTGAGCTGCTGGGGACCCCCACCATTCCTGCTTAACTCCTAAACCCTCACCCCCTTCCTCCTCCCAGGGCGAGAAGCCTGGGAGAAGAGGTCCAAACGGGGCGGGGGGCGGGGAGTGGAAAGGAACAAGGTGGGCCGCCTGGTGTGGATGCTGGATGGGGAAGCCACCTAGAAGATGGGGCAGGGGCATCTCTACATCTTCAGTTTTGTTCTGTGGAGGCATGACAAACAGGCCAACACAAACTCCCATCTGATTCTCAACTGACACTTTCCTCACTGGTCTTAGGCTCACCACTAGAAGCCAGCAAAACTCACTCTCTGTAAAACTCACACCTACCTGGCCATCCACCTGAGTAGTCCTATTCCAGCCCTAAGCCACCTTCCCACCACCCCCAACCCCATAGTTCCCCATCTTCCTCCCATCCAACTGCCCCTAACATCTCCTCTCCCGCAGTCATTCAACTCTGCAGTCCCCATACCTCCAGTACTAGTCACAACCTCTCCAGCAGGCCTCAGCTCCAGACCCACTCCCTAATCTGATGACCCCTTCTCCTTGCCAGTCCCTGCCCCTCCCATATTTATAAGTGTCCAGTTGGGGGCGGGCGGTAGGTGCGGCTTCCCCAGCGCGTATAGTAGGCAGTGTACTGTGGCCGTGCCGTCAGCGTGTGCGTGTGCGTGTGTGCCGTGTCAAGGCCGTGTAGAGTGCATTGTACAGCATATTTTCATGAATAAAATTGTTTTAAATATTTCCCGCGTGCGTTGGGCTAGCAGGAGGTGGTGGAGGTGGAGAATAATCTGAAGTGATTGGGTATAGGGTGGGGGTCCTGTGCCTGCTGCTGTTGTGGCCTTGTGTCTGGGTATGTATCAGCATTAGCTGATGAAGAGCACATTGGTTAAGCCCCTGCTGAATTTCTCATGCTGGAGATGTGCCTTGTGGAGCCCTGCACCTGTTTCTGTGAACATGTGAGTGCAGGAAATTTCCAGCCTGGGGAGTCTGGCAAGAAGGAGCATAGATATTTACTGAGAACCTGTTTCATCTAGGTTTTGTATGGCATGGGTTTTGTTCCCATTGTACAGAAACAAGGTCAGAGAAGGAAAATAACTTAGGAAGATGAGGGATGGGGAGCCTTTGGAAAAGCCTCTGTTGGAACTATTCCCTCCCTTTACCAGATCTGTGGCTTTGCGCACATTTCAACCTTGGTAGCCTTGTTTTGCTGGTCTTTTACTATAGCACGGTAGCCCCCACAGTGAGGAAAACTGTGTAATACTCAGCCCAGGCCCTGCAAGGAATTAAGTTAACACCTATTAAGTGCCAGTCCTTGTACCAAGATTGCAGCATGGGTAGGATCTCAGCCCTGAAGGAACCTGGTGGAGTGGGGGTACTGTCTCAGTGAAGCCTTGAAGGATAACTTGGCACTGGGAAGGGAGGGATTCAGACAGAGGATGTGGCATATTCAAAGTCTCAGAATCAAGAAGTATGTAGATTCCAGAACCAAAAGCAGTTGTATGGCTGAGGCTCAGAGATGGAAAGCTGGTGACAGGGAGGCTTCGGGCCAGAAGGGATAGCAGTAGGAGAGAGGCTGGCCAGGCTGAAGTGCTGATGGTGACTCACATCAGCCAAGAGGAAAAAGGACAAGCTCACTTAGATTATGGATGGAGTCATTGCAACTTGGTTGTGGATTGGACATGGAGGGGAGAGGTGTCAGCAGCAGATAGGACTGTTCCCTAAGATGGGAAACACTAAGTGGAGCTTTGGGCAAATGGAAATCTTTGGGGCCTGAGAGAGGAGGGAGGTCCATTTGAATGACATTTTCTGGCATTAGGCAATAAAGTGGCAGGATGGTGATGACACCTGGACAGCAAGGTCAGACAGGAAGTCATCTGGACTGGAGAGGGAGATGAGAGACAGGAGCAAGATTATCGCTGCTTGGACTGGCTTGGGGTACAGCCTTGCAGAATACAATAAGCAAAGAACCCAGGTCTGCTTTGCCCTTAGGCAAAAGAAGAGGAGGAGGAGCAGGGGGTGCAGGGGGTAAGAGAAGGAAAACTGGGATTCAGAAGGTCGTTAGGGTCTGTGAAAAGACTGGTAGGTCTTGGAGCTCCAGGAGACTCATTTTCTTGGTAGCAGTAGTACCTGTCTTGTATATTTGTTGAAGAAAAAGGATTGGAGTCTGAGGCTCTATTAGCAAGGGGCAGAGCCAGGGTCCTGCCCTTGACTATATGTCCCCAACGCTTTCCTACAGCGTCCTGGTCTCTGAGGAGGTAACCATGGGCAGGGAAGCAAGTTGAATCTGCACAGGTTCAGGCTTAGAAGGAGTGTGGGTGCTAGCACATCTTTGGTGGATGGGGTGGGGGAATGGGGGGAATGGGTAGGGAGCATATAGAGACTGAAGGGCCTCCCTGGGACAGATGTCTCAGTCCCACCCAATAACCAGACTCTAAAATGGTCCAGCTGAGTCTGGGCTCCATATGGGCTGCAAAGCTGCCCCCACCCTAAGCTGCTAGAGGGTGGGCCTCTGGTGTACATGTGCAAGGTCTGTGTGTGTCCATGTCATGCCATATGCATCTGTCTGTGTGGGCCTGTGTGTGTGTGTGTGTGTGTGTGTGTGTGTGTGTGTGTTAGGTGTTAGTGTGCTGGAGGGGGTGAAGAATAGTGGAGGTCTCTTCTTGTCAAGGGTGCACATGGCTGAATGTGTGTGTGTGTCTGTGTGTGTGTGTGTGTGTGAGAAAGTGAATCCAGTCTCTGCCCACATGTGTGTCAAATGCCCTCCCACTCCTCACATGTGCACCTCGCGTTCATTGCGCTCATTGCTCTCTGGGTGTGCCTGCCTGTCTTGGCTTCTCCCTCCCTCCCTCCCCCCTCCCCTTTCTCTCTCTCTCTCTCTCCCTCCGTGCATCAGGCTGGTACTCCCCTGCCAGGAACGTCTTCCAGGCTGCTCTGCTGTCTGTCAGAGGGGAGGGGAGCAGAGGGACACTCCAGCCCCTGGGATCCAGCCCAGCTCATGTACAGAGGGAGCAAGGAGCCTACCTCAGAGTAATGCTTGAGCTGTGCCTGGCTTAGGCCAATGATAATTTCACAGACAGCTTCTGTCCTGCTGAGCCCCATCCAGAGAAAGGGGACAACACCCCTGCAGCTGGGGGTCTGCCATTGGCCCTTCCCCGCCAGCCTTGGAGCCCAGCAGACGCACCCCCCTTCATGCCCACTCCCTGGGAGGCGTCTGACACATGATTTATTCATAAAAAGCCATTATTTGTGCCAAAGAAGAACTGAGCTGCTCGCTTTTTAAGTGCTGATAATGCTCTCAGCCTCCCTGCCTCTCCTCCTTCCCCTCCCCTTCCTTCTCTCTCTCCCCTTTCCTCTCCTCTTCCTTCTCTCTCCTGCTTCCCCCCCTTCCTTCTCCCTCACCTCCTTCAGAATTCCTATTCTTCTCCCATCCCCCATCCTTTCACTCCAACCCTCTCTCTATTTCTTCATTGTTCTCATCTCCTCTCCCTCCCTTCTTCCTCCTTTTCTCCCCTCCCCCCCCTCAGCTCCTCCCTGCTTCTCTACAGTCAGGGGAATGGGGCAGTGTCCAAGCTTGCTCAGAACCAAGTGGCCCAGTTTGAGGAGGTCTGCTCCAGCCCAGAGCCATATGGACCCTACCCCTTTGCCTCAACCTTTCCCTCTTCAGGATTGTGGGAAAGCTGAACAGGATGAGGACTGGCTGGGAAAGAGGGATCACTGGAGATGGTTCTAACCAGCTCATCCAATAGTTAAGGAGTTGACTTTAGTCTCCCATATTAGCATAGGTCGCCCAGAATCCCAAATAACCATTCAATCTAAGTAAAAACAGTGCACTTGCTATGCAAATGCAGATTGAAAGCAAGCCCCATAGGACCCCTTTCCCAGCCAACAACGCCTCCCAGCTCCCGTGTATAGACATTCTGGACCTCATTATTCAGGTGGTGCCAGGAGAGGCTGGCATGGAGGGAGACACCTGGGTTCTGCCAGAGACAGGAGGCAGCAGAACATGTTCCCAGATGGCAGCTTGGACATTGACACACACAGGATTCTTAAAAGCTGACATCCCAGATGCACGTGTGTGCCCTCATGTTTGCATGTGCATATCAGCATGCAAGCACACACACACCCATGCATGTGCTCAGCCACCCACCTACTCATGCAGATGGAGAGCCTTTCCTCATTCCTGTTTGGAGTGTACCTCCCTGAACACCTGCTTGGGGTGAGGGAGCTGCAGCTCCTTTCCCATCCAGACACCTGTTCATTCATTCATGCATTCATTCATTCACTGTCAGCTTTGCTTTATCACCCCATTTATCTGGCTCAGTTCTTGTACTGCATGCCGGGGTGACAGAAATGAACTAGATTGGCTCTAGGGATCAAGGCTAGAGCAGAGGGGGTTCTTTCAGCCCTCCCTTGCAGCTTTGGGCTGGGGGTTGGGGGGGCCCAGCAGGCGAGGGGTTAAGTCATTTGGCATCTAGAGCTGGAGCCATTAGGCCTCCTAATTATGAAATTATCGAGGTCCTCAGGTGACTGCTAATTTCACACACACTGTTCCTCTCACGGCTAATGAACGCCCGCAGAACCCACGCCTTGTCTTTCCTGCTGAACGGTGACCTGCAGTTAATGAGCTCAGGAAGGCAGACAGGCCGCCGGCTGGGTGGGTGGGGCGCCAGGCCTGAGGAGGGGGCACTAACCCCTCCGCCTCTCCCCACTTCCCTTGCTGGCTGCCAGCTCCATCAAGGATCTGGGGGCCTAAATGCACCACAGTTCCTGCAGGATAGGCTAGGCCCACTCAGAGCTATTGGGAGCAGGGGTGGGGTACAGATCTGGGGAAGC